GCCATGTAGAGCAGGCGGGTTGTTGAAGCGTGAATATTGCAAGAACCGCGAGGAGGTCTCGATCGATAGCGCGATTCCCAAGTGAATCGCGAGAAAAACCAGGGCGGGAGCGCGATTCCTGAGCGTCGAGGGCGCGGCGCTGGAATAAATTGCGTGAAGTCCCACGCGAGAGCGCGATTCCTGCATACATTGTGAGGATGTCCCACGCGAGAGCGCGATTTTGAAATACACTGTGAGGAAGTATCAGGCGGGAGTCGCTGTTGTTGTAATTCTGCTATCTCGCTACCCCCGTGACTGGGGTATGGAGTCGGGAAGGATTTGTTTTGCCCCAAACCCAAGGCGGGGTCTCCTGCGTTGGCAACATATGCCTCTTGTTGGGCGCCTCATGGAGCTGCACGCCTGGCCGGGTCCGCGGTGACCCAGGGACGGTCACCAGGGGCACTGGCCAGGCACAGCCACCTCGAAGGTAAGCGGATTGCAGCACGCATTGGAAACATGGGTGCGGGGGGGCGGAGCGCTAGACCCCGACCGTTGGAGCAAGGCGCCTGCGCGCGAGCTGAATCCAGCAGATCGTACACGGAACGAACGAGGAAGCAGTCCCCTAAGAAAGGACGCCCTCTGCTTACTATATAGCTACCCCCGTGGCTGGGGGATGGAGTCGGGAAGTTATCGTTTTGCCTCTAAGCCCAAGGCGGGGTCTCCTGTGCTGGCAATGTATGCCTCCGTGTGGGGTGCAGGCCGGCCTGGCCAGGTCCACGGTGACCCACGAACGGTCACCAGGAGCACTGGCCAGGCGCAGCCTCGAGGAGGCAAGTTTTTACAAGCTCCCAATGAGGCGCCTCTACGGGCATTCGTGAAACGCGCGCCTGGCGATGAGTGATGGCTTGGGCCGCCACGCCGCTTGAAGTTGTAGACACGGTGCGTAGCAGCTGATCGCACCGTTCCGAGTCTGAGAAGCGGGCGTAAAAAGGCTCGCATCGTTTCCAGGTTTGACCAGCCGCCGTGAGCTTGCACCAAGTGTGCTGGCACGCAGCACGCGGTCTGGCACCAGTGGGGACCGCCTTTGCGCAGTGAGTTCGTTCCCACTGCAGCAATCTGAAAGAACTTCGTGCGATTTTGAAGGGGAATACAGCAATTCATGTGGCGAGGTTCCACCAAATGAGTTGTGCAAAACATGGGAGTATTTGGGTTGGACCCCCAGCGCGAATCCCGCTGCACCAGCCTTTCCCGCACTCGGGGTGTCGACCATCCTTGGGATGTGGCGCTAGACCCCGACCCTTGGAGCAGGGCGCCTGCGCGCGAGCTGAAGCCAGCAAAACGCACGGGGAACGAATGAGGAAGACGAACCGAGACCCGCGACCCCGCACAAGCCCCGTTCCCGAGTGCACAGCCCTCCCAAAAAGGGCGCCACCAGGGGCCAAGGGCACAGTTTGGTGACACCTCACGTTCCCTTGTAAAAAAAGCAGGGTGCGAGCCCCGGGAAAAACACTTTAACAAGCAATGGTTACTGGAGAGGCGGGATCAGCACTAATCATCCATTCGCAAAGAGAAACCAACAATAACAATATCAGCAGCAACAACAACACCGTCAACAACAATCAGTTTAATATTGTTCGCTCCCTTACGCGCGCTTGTCAATCAACAGTCCCAAGCCGTGGATACCCGCCCTCGTCGTCTTCGAGCGTGCCCCCATTAGGGGTATATCTCTCTTACCTGCTATGTGTATTTCGCGCAGCCCCTAGGGCAGGGGAAGAGAGGACGGATGGAAGGAAGGGGCCGGAAGGGGGCTAGGATCATAAACGCATGGCAGAACCAGACGGTCAGATCGGGCGGGTAGACCTTAACGGGCGGGTCGGGAACGCGGGCCCAGGTGGCCAGATCAAGCAGGCGTGTTGGTGAAGCGTGCGTTCGGCCTGAATCGTTGGGAAGTCTCGAGCGATAGCGCGACCCTTTTTTAATAAATTGTCAGATTCCTGCATACATAGTGAGGAAGTCCCACGCGAGAGCGCGATTAGGAAGTAAGTTGGCGGATGGTGTTGTTGCACACCGGGTGCCAACAGCCCAGTTGTGTCACACCCGGGCTCTTTTTTGTGAAAAACAGTGTGAAAAACCCGGGAAAAGCACTTCCATTGAAACAAATCATTTTCGAAAACAGAGTTCAACAACAAACACAACAACAGCAACAACAATCATTTCAATGATGTTCGCTCTTGATTGCTCGCGTGCCATTCAAACCGTATACCCCAAACCCTCGATGCCCGCCCTCTTCGTCTTCGATCGTGGCCCTTTAGGGGTACATCTTTCTTATATGCTACGCATATTTCGTGCAGCCCCTAAGGCAGGGGAGAAGAGGACGGATGGAAAGAAAGGACAATGGGGGATGGAGGAGGATGAAACACGAGCGAGAGAGAGAGAGAGAGAATAGCAGGAGGGGGGGCTGGGAGCAGATTGCACATGGCAGAACCAGACGAGAATGCCGGGCGGGTAGACCCCTAACGGGCTTTTCGGGAAGGCGGGCCCAGGCGGCCAGATCGAGCAAGCGGGTTCGTGGAGCGTGCGTCCGGCCTGAATCGCGGGGAAGTCTCGAGCGTTAGCGCGATTTTGGGGTAAATCTTCAGGAAATTCACAGCGTGAGCGTGATTCTTGAATGTCTAGGGCGCGGCGTCTGAGTAAATTTCGAGGGAGTCTCACGCGAGATCGCGATTTATGTATCGCGAGAGCGCGATTCGGGAATATATTGTGAGGGAGTATGAGGCGGGAGCCGTTGTTTTTGTTGTTGTTGTTGTTGTTGTTGTTGTTGTTGTTGTTGTTGTTGCTGTTGCTGTTGCTGTTGCTGTTGCTGTTGCTGTTGCTGTTGCTGTTGCTGTTGCTGTTGCTGTTGTTGTTGGGGGGCAACACGCAATCCTGAGACTCAAGATTTTCCCCAGAGGGGGATCAACAACAGCTGCTCCCAACTATTGAGAGCCAACAGCGTATCTTATCTGCTTGCGTGCCACTCAACACGTATATCCCAAACCGTCGATACCCGCCCTCCTCGTTTTTTGCTCGTGCCCCCATTGGGGGTATATCTCTTTTTTACCTGCAGCGTGTATCTAGGAGCAGGAAGCACGTGGCAGAACCACACGTGCAGATCGGGCGGGTAGACCCTAACAGGCGGGTCGGGAAGGAGGGGCCCAGGCGGCCAAAATCGAGCAGGCGGGTTGGTGAAGCGTGCGTCCTGCTGACTCGCGGGGGAGTCTCGAGCGATAGCGCGATTCCTAAATATATCGTCAGGAAATCCGCAGCGAGAGCGTGATTCCTGAGTGTCGAGGGCGCGGCGTCTGAGTAAATTGCGGGAAAGGCCCACGCGAGAGCGCCATTCTTCTTTAAATTGTGAGGAATTCCCGCGCGAGAGCGCGATCTGAAAGTAGATTGCGAGGAATAATTAGGTGTGAGCCGTTGTTGGTGTAGTCAGGGACCCAACAACGCAGTTTGGTGACCCTTTGGTGTCACTTGTAAAAGAGCAGGGTGCGAGTCCCTCGAGAAGCACTTTCATTCAAACATTACAATGGCCACAAGGCAGGGGAAATCACAACTCAACAGCAGCAACAACAACAACAACCGCAGCAGCAACACCACCAACAACACCAACACCACCACCACCACCACCACCACCAACAACAACAGCCATATGTATACACACATGTCGATCACCACGATAAGAGGGAGACATGAATAGCGAGAGAGTGGGGTAAGTGCAACGCATGCCGCAGGATGGGAGCAGGAGGCAACGGGTTCTCCTCGGTTCCAGGCGCGTCGGGAGCGATTCCAAGGAGGTTTTATTTAGAGAGGGGCCACGAGTCACGAGTCTTTGATGTGTTCAGCGGAGTTATTCTTGGGGGGCTCAGGAGGGGGGAGGCGAGGGAGGTGAGGGGTTGGGGGTGGCTGCGCGATGTGCTGAGGAGGGCGAGCGCTTGCCAGCCTGTCGACCTCGCGTCACCCCGCCTCCCAGCTTCCGTTGCCCCCCTGTGGCTTCAGTGCCGTGCTCTCTCCTCCTCCACCTTCTCACCCCACCCCCCCCCTCTCCCCCGGCTCCCTCGTCCTTCCCTCGGACCGTTTTGGATTTCAGGCGCCGGTCGGACTGAGGATTTTTCTTTCGCGGACATGTGTTCCCCATGGACGGCGACACATTCAGGAAGCTCGTGCCAAGATGATTCCATGCAGGTTCCCATATATCCGAAGTCGCGATTATTTTGTGACGTGAGTCCCATACCTCTCCATCCCCTTCCCTAGGACAAGCGATCCTCCGTCGTTATTTGACGCTCCTGGGTCCCGAAATTGGCCACCCGATGTGCAGCATGTGGGAAGCAGCCGTCTCGATTTCTCGCCACTACGGAGGTCTGTTCTGTATCGGGAGTCCACCCTGTGTGCGGGATTGGTGTTTCGGAGGCCCCGGAGCCACATGTGACGAATCGTCACGCGCGTCTCGGACGACCTGGACACGACGAGCGGGTTTGTGTGTGTGGGTGCGTTTGATCTCGCAGCTACTTGCGACGCAGCGGCGGGACACATTGGATGTGAGATCAATCATGTCCGTGGGCGCCGAAGAGGGGCGAACTGAGGAAGCGTGGACATCATGGCCGAGACATGAAAATATCCCTGATTTCATGTTCCCCTTTTCTTCTGACAATGCATTCCCCGCCCCCCCCCCCTCGCCCCTGCCCCCCCCCACCCCTCGGGCCATGATGCGCTGCCCCACCCTCTTTCTGGGCCCCCTTTGGTCGTCGCGCCGGGCATGTGGGAGAGAGCGGGATGAGGCGGAAGAGCCGGCGGAGGCGGCGGTGAAAGGAGGGGGGTCGGCTGCTCAAAAGAGGGGGTCCCGAGGGATGGGGTCCTGAGGACGGGCAGCGGTCCCAAGGTTGGATTCGCATCGGTTGAGGCACCTCGCCCTTAGGGCCCCCTCCCTCGGGAGCCCATCCCAGAGCCGCCAAGGGAGGGCGAGGCGCGAAGCGGCCCCCGAGGTCGGTCGACGATCTGGCCGAGCTGGTATTTGCGCTGCCGCGGCCTCGGTCTCTTGCCTCGAGGGGCCTCCCGAGCTCGCAAGGGGGAGGGAGGGGACAGCTCTACGGGCTCTCCGTGGTCCTCCTCGACCCTCCTCGATCATCGATCCTCCTCGGATCTCGATGGTCGTGGATCCTCCTCGACCCTCGATCCTCCTCGATCCTAGACCCTCCTCGACGCTCGATGTTTCCGAGGGGTTCCAGGTGCGGGAGTGGGAGGGGCGGGAGGAGGGAGAGGGGTTGGGGGCGAATTGGATTCGGAGAGGGCATGGGGGGGGGGACGAGAAAGCGGAGCGGATGTCTGCATCCCGAGGTCATCTCGATATTGGCATTACGCTTTTGCAACAGCCAGTTTGAGTGGAAATGCTAATTGCAGCACCACGGCGTCCTCAAAATGAATAATTCTTTCTACGGTTCTCCGTTGCCGCTGCGGTCCTGGTCCCTGGTGGCTTCAAACGCCCTTGTCCTCAGTTCGGTTTATGTGCACCGTGTTCGTCCTGACCTCATCATGAGCTGGCATGTGTTCGCGCCAGTCTTTCACCGTAGAACTGCAAGGGATGGCCCTAGCCCAAGGTGATCCCTGGTTTCCCCGGGAGCTCACGAAGCCCAGCGGAAGTTAGCGGAAGTAGAGCAACGGTGCAAGACCAGACGTGAACATCAAGGCGACCAGGTGTTTCGAGGTGAGGGTAACGTCCGGGGTCGAGGGAGAGGCAGTGGAGGAGTCCAAATGTACATTCGCAGATATGTCTCACCCGTCGTTGATGCAGGCACTCTACACTCAAAGAGAGCGGAGGGTTGAAATCGATCAGTGTGATCTTGGAGGACGGCACGTCCCCCATGTCCAAGACGGCAAAGGAGCTCGAGAGCATGATCTTCAAAGGAGGAGGAGGAGGAAGAGGAGGAGGAGGAGGAGGAGGAGGAAGAGATGAAAAAGGTGAAGCTCAACAAGAAGCAGTGAGCCCCTACACAGTTGAGAGTAGTGACAGTGGTCTCCTGAGCGCCCCGAGTGTCCCCAGTGACACAATCCAGTCATAGTTCGACTTAGGCTTAGAGCTTTTCCCGAGCACTCCATGAGTTTTCGGCCTGTTCTTTGGGGACGAGGGCCCGCGAGGCTCCAGAAGGCCTCGGTGCGGCTACCCTCGTTGTGCCATCCCCTCAGAGGAGGGGGTGCTCGAGGGTAGGGCTGTGTGGCTGTTTTTTTTTCCCAGCGTTTTCGCACCCCCGGCTCTGCACCCCTCTTCGGGCCCCAGCTCCTCACGGGATCTTTGAGATTGATGCTGTGCCGAGACCTCGGTAGGTTTTGTGTGAGCCCGTCGCAAGACATCCGAGTGACATTTAGAGGCTGTAGCGTGGGGAGAAACAAGGAAGTAGAGCGGCGGCTGCTCCGCCTCCGGAAGAGCTTGGCGGAAGGCGGCAGGAGCAGACACGAAATGCCCGCTCTGTGTGGGTGCGGGGCGTTTGGATTCGGCCAGAGGGCACGAACAGTTGGGGGCACGTTGGGCCAGGATCTCTGCTACAGTGGGGTCCCATGCCAAGATACACCCTGCCTGCCTCCAGGGTGCCCTGGGTTTCTTGGGGTTCGATGGTTTCGCTGTGGAAAGCGCGACGTTCCCACGCCAAACATCGATGGGCGTCCTGGGGTCTCAGGTTTGGGTTTCTTGTGGAAGCTTTCCTGTGGTCGGGCCCCCACTGCAACCTTCGAGCCGCGGGATTCCTGGCGAAGGCCAGGTCTCCAGCGGCGCTCCTCGGCGGCCGCGGTCTCCTCGAAGAGCTCCTCGGCGAGGAGCGGCCCACGCAACGACAGCACCCGATTCCAGATCTCTATGCCCCCCCAGACTCTGAGGCGCCGCCAGCGCCCTCGGCACTCTATGAGACAGCAGGGGCTTCATGTCGGCATAATTTCTCCACTCCTGTGCAGCCAGCGCGCGTTTCACGCTATGTGGCAACTTCACTTCTTGATCTTCCAGCCCGCGTGCCGGTCGGCGTGTGCGTTTTATGTCGGTCGGCCTGGCACGGGCGCTGGCTGGCCGAGGGTGGTGGCGTTGGCGGGGCGGGCTTGTGCGCGGTGGCGGGAGCGTGGGGGGGGGGTTATAACAAACATCGGCCCTGTGGGTTTTTCCTCTCTGGGTCCATGTCGCCCCAGAAAGCACCCGGTCCCACTTCTCCGACTCTTCCATGATGGCCAGTTCCTTGTCTTTGTCCTTCACGGTGCGGAGCTCCCCGAGCAGCTCGTCGTACGTCTCCACGCCCTTCTGCCGTGCCTTCAGTTGGATCGGCTTCCTGGCCACGAACTTTGTGAGCGGCTCGAGCACCTCCACCAAGTCGTTGCGAGCCAGAGTGCGCGCAACCTCGCGGCTCATGCCCGAGAACTCGGCATGACCATTCTCGAAGGCAGCCTTGAATTTCACGTTCCGCTCACGTGAACACGCCGGTGTCGCCAGGGCCTCCAGAATGTGTGCTTTCGACTCAATCTCGGAGTACTTGAACTCCTTCGCCAGGCACTCCACGCACGTGTAGACCTGCTTGAAGGAGTCGACCTTGTCCGTCATGGTCTCCGGGTAGTGCTCCCACACTTTTTCTCGCTTCCCATCTTCTTCCACTTTACCACCGTGTCGCAACTGTTGCACTACACCATAGGCCATGTTTGTGCTGTCCCCCCATCATCGCCTGCAGCTCTGGAACCAGGTACTGCAAGCGGGTTGATTCATTGGCGTTGCTGGCGCCGCTTGCCATGGCCGAGAGGTCAAGGGCCACACAGCTTCAGCCACACACGGATAAAATTGGCCTGGCGTGTTAGGACCGTCGTTATATGCACCGCATTCGGAGGAGCTCCCCTATAAGGCCACGAAACGTGTGAGGGGTGAGCCAAAAATTGTCCAGCGGGCGCATGCGAGAGCAGCCACTTGGGCCGTCGGTGGATGTCCCTATGGGGTGGCCAACCACGATCGCAGCAGATGGACGCGACTGAGTGCAAGTTGGGACCCATGTACACACGACCTACGCCCAGCCTTTCGCCGACATGGCGGGCAAAAGAAGCTCTGGCATGATGACATTGTATCTTATCTACATGACGCGGTCGACACCGACAACGATTCCAAATGGTGGGTGTTGGCCCAGAACCTACCATGGTGGAAGACTCGTGAAGAAGGCTTCTTGGACTACATGCGTCGCTTCCTCCACTCCGGCAACTACAACGAATGAGCCTCCTGGCGCTCCGGCGCCCCCGCCGGGCTCTCATAGGGCCGTCCTTCCGGGACGTTTCCCGGCGCTCTGCTCTGCTCTGCCCTATGGGGCCACGAAACGCGTGCGGGGTGTGCCGAAATCGGTGCGGTGGGCGCATGCGAACGCAGGCACAGGCGCCTTCGGTGGAGCTCCCGAACGGGCCACGAAACGCGTGAAGGGCGTGAGGGATGTGCGTGGGTGACGCATGCGGGCGGTGGCAGCGGGGCCTTCGCTGGAGCTCCCTATGGGGCCACGAAACGTGTGAAGGGTGTGACGACATTGGTGTGGGTGACGCATGAGGGCGGTGGCACTGGGGCCTTCGGTGAAGCCCCTTTGGGGCCACGACACGCGTGCGGGGTGTGCTGGAAGGGGCGTGGGTGACGCATGCGGGCGGTGGCACTGTGGCCTTCGATGGAGTTCCCTATGGGGCACGAAACGTGGGAGGACTGTGCCGACATTGGCGTGGGTGACGTATGCGGGCGGTTGCACCAGGGCCTTCGGTGGAGCTCCTTACGGGGCCACGAAACGAGTGATGGGTTGTGTGGGAAAGCGCGTGGGTGACGCATGCGGGCGGTGGCATGGGGGCCTTCTTTGGAGCTCCCTATGGGGCCGCGAAACGTGTGAGGGGTGTGACGAAATTGGTGCGGGTGACGCATGCGGGCGGTGGCATAGCGGGCTTCGGTGGAGCTCACTATGGGGCCACGAAACGCTTGAGGGGTGTGCCAAAACGGGCGTGGGTGACGCGTGCGGGCGGTGGCACTGCGGCCTTCGTTGCAGCTCCCCATGGGGCAACGAAGCGTGTGAGGGGCGTGACGACATTGGTGTGGGTGACGCATGCGGGCGGTGGCACTGGGGCCTTCGGTGGAGCTCCCTATGGGGCCATGACACGTATGAATGGTGTGTTCCCTATGGGGCCACGACACGTGTGAGGAGTGTACCGAAATGTGTGCGGGTGACTCATGCGGGCGGTGGCACTGCGGCCTTCGGTGGAGCTCACTATGGGGCCACGATTCGTGTGAGGGGTATGCCGAAATAGGTGTGGGTGACGCATGCGGGCGGTGGCACTGCGGCCTTCGGTGGAGCTCCCTATGGGGCCATGCCCCCGGCGATTCTGCGTTCCCGAGTCCCCCGAAGCCAGCGCCGAAGAGCGCGCCAGCGATGCCGCCGCCATCGCTGACGCCACAGCCCCGCCCGCCAGCCAATCCACCGCCCAACGACGTCCTGCTCGCGCGCGCAGAGGAGGGCCATGGGCCCAAGACTGCCCCCATGTCTCAAGCAGACCTGTTGGACGCGCTAAGGCATGCAGCGGCACCGCCCACGGCATCGCAGGTGGCGCAGGAGGTCGCGCAGAGGTGCAGAAAACGGGCGACCCAGCAACAGCCGCAGCAGCCAGCGATCGTGATGCCGCAGTTGCGTTCGTGGCAGTCGCGGCGCAAGGCGCAGACCCCGTTCAATTCGGAGTTATTTTTGTTCAAGCAAAAACCGCCCTTACGGTTTGCCTGCGGCCGCGCACGGTGAAATATTCGTCAGTTCGGATTGGTTCAAGCGCGTGAAATGTTAGTTTCGAGCCGCATGGTGAGCCACGTTGGTGGAGATGGACAGGGAAACAAAGGAGGACATTGTGCGCCCACAACTGGAATCCCGTTTGGCCAGTATGCCCTCAGACCTTCCGACCGTTGAGCCATTTGTTTGAGCCGTTGTTGTTAGCTTCAGTGCAGCTCCCTATGAACATCCTGATTGTCTCTGCGCCCTTACCCTGCGCCCCCCTTCAGTGTGTCGCCCTTACCCTGCGCTCCCTTCGGAACATTGAGGTCCGAGTTGAAGACGCCGGACAGGAACGTGATCGTGGCAGACATACTGAGGAACGCCGCGCCTTCCGGATGTTGCCACAAGCCGCGTCCGAACGGCGTTTGTTCGCGGCGCGCACGTCGGGAACCTCCCGCCCACGTTCTTTTCTTCCCTGTTTTGTTCGTTATTATGTTCGGGTTCCTGCATTTCTTGTTTTTTCTTCGTCTCCCCCTGGTCCTGCTCCACGCAGTCCTTGTCATGTTGCTCCCTTTGCCCCCGTTTGTCCTCATTCATGTCCTTTTCTCCTGCTACTTCTTCGCCACCTCTTTCGTCTTCATCCTGCTCCTGCGCATTGTCGTTTGCTCCTGCTGCTCTTCCTCGCGAAGTGTCAGCTCAACGCCAGTACCGATCATGAATCATATGTATATTGGGACGGGCCTTGGTCTGTATCCTCACCCGTCTCGCCATTCTCCCCTTCGTCCATTTGTTCCCCGTGCTCCTCCTCCTCCTCCTCGTCCCTTCCTCTCCATTCTCCCCCTGTCTTCACACCCCCTTCTCCTCTGCCCTTCCGTCTTCCGCTTTCCCTCCTTCCCCGTCTCCCCACTATCGTTTTGTAAGTTTTCCTTCGTCCTCCACAAAGGTTTCATCCGAGTCTCAGCATGGGCAGGGGCCTCCATCGACATTCATGGGGAACCAAAGCAAACACCAGCCAGGTGCGCAACACCCGCGTGGTGCGCCGCGCGTGCAAGGACATTCCCATCAGCCCCGCCCATTAACATTGCAACGTAATCGTGGGCCCTCCCCGCGCTTGATCAAAGTGTTGACGCAAAGTATACTTTGCATTATGTGTTGAGAGGGGTGGTGGGCCTACGCCATCAGACAAGATGCCGACCCGCCCTTCGTCCCTCATAACAACCATGCAAATTGCTCCCACTGATCATTTAGATGATGTTGCAAAGAGTCTGTTGTATGGTTTTGTTGAAAAACATGGTGGGGGCGTTGTCATGGTTCTGGGTTTGCCTCAGGTCAGATGGGGAGGGCGCCCCTTTCCAAAGAGGACGAGAGTTGGACGAGAAAATGCGTTGGGCCATCTCAGCCCAGAGGGCTGGTGGGATTGTTGTGACATCCCAGCGGGTCAGAGCCCTGGGCACGAGGTGGGATCCACCAGCCATCCCCAGCTTCGCAAACTGGTACTGCGACATCTGGTAAGCCCGACCTCTGACAACTCGATCGTTTCGAGTTTCCAGTCCCAGGAACTCTCCAAACCTGGATTTTCATTTAGAGTCGCGGTTTGACGGTCCAGGGCGACCTACGAAGGCACGGCCGCGAGACGTCAAAACACGTAAACCAAATTCAGCGCGAGTTATCCAAGTCGCCAGTTGTCGGTGTGATATTGTGTCTGTTTTGTTTATCCCTGGTCCTCGCATACGAAGCCGTTGTTTTGAAAGGTAGAACTGTTGCCTGTCAGCAGTGTCGGGAAGACCGCCTCCCTCCAGTTCCGTCACGTGCCCCCCGTCTGTTCAGGGGTTTGTTTTCATTGCATTTCGTTATTGGAGGAGGAGGACCTATATCTTTTGGGCGATCCAGCAAAATCGCGCCAGAGTTGATGTTACCATTCTCGGCGTCCCGATGCAGTTTCTGGCTGTCAATAAGTGACCCGATCTGAAAATCACATCCCGAGGAAGGGGGTTGAGAGCTCGAGGGGTCAGCGATTCGAACAGATCGAGTCGTATGACGCCTGGGTTTGCAGCAGGAGTGGCCGTCTTGGGATTGGGAGTACGTTTGAGCAGACCTGGCCACCGTTCGAGGTTCTGAGAGCAGGCTGAGCAGTGGAAGCACTGGGATCGGTCCGGCAGAGGAGCAGTAGCAGGAGACTCGAGGAGGGCCTGCTGGAGGAACATGAGAGTGAGAGGAGGAGAGGGGAGGAGAGGGGCGCATGTGGGGTCAGAGCAGGGCATCAGATCACGGTCATTGCTAACAGGAGTACGGCAGGTTCGCGTCGTGTCGACGCGGCGGCGACCCCGCCGCTGGCGTTCATGCTTGAACGCCGCCAGTTGCCCAGAAGCAGCCGATATGTAGCGATCTGGCGATCGAGAAGCCGCTGATCGTTCGATGAAGGCTGAACGCTCTACGCGGCGTCAAAAACCAGCGCCGGGGTCGCCACGATACGAAATTGCAGTAGGTGCATCAGGGGCAACGATAGAGGGGGATAGGCATAGGGGGGGATGCATCGACCCCCAATCGCCCATTGATCGCCGACAGGGGCCCGATAGCCCCAACCTGCCCGGTAAGGTGCGGATCCACTATCGGAGGCCTATCGCCGATCCATCGGCGATGTATCGCCGATTCCAGGTCGATGCATCCCCTCCTATGCCAGTCCCCCCCCTATCGTTGCCCCTCAGTGAGTCGAGACGAGGGGGTTCCAGCCCGCTTCGTCCGCGTCCTCCTTGCCTGTCTTTCCTGCTCCCGTCGTCTGCGCACCTTGTCCAGGGAAGTGGGCGAGATCGCGATGCAGCACGCGGACCAGCTAAGTCCATCGAGCTTGCCGCGCCTGGCGTACGGATTCATGTGCTGCGGCATCAGGACCGTTGGGCGTGGGCGAGGGCGAAGCGGCTGCTGCTGGGAAGCTGACGGTGAATGAGCGCATAACAGGTTTCCCCCCTCGTCAGCGCTGGCAAGTTGGCACGGGCGGAGGTTCAATCGTTCTGTGGCGCGATTTGAAGTTCGGGGTTCGTTTGGCGCAGGAAGTGCCACATTTAGCAGCCGCTCCCGTTGCCTTTGGACCTCGTGATGTCCGAGGTGCCCTGGGCAGGACACTTCAGTGGAGATGATGTGTGGGGGACCGGCTGCTCTCTGGGTGCAGGCTCTCCTCCCTCCCCGTTCCCTCGGCGCCTCCCCCCGCCTCCCCTCCCCTCCCCTCCCCTCCCCTTCTCCTGTCCCCACTTCACGCCGCTCCCCTCCGCCGTCCCCAGAGTTCCCTCTCCGCGGCCACCACTACCCAGGACGCCAGACGCATGCTAAAAACAGGGGTTCCCCAGGGATCTGCCAGCTTGCTGGGGCTCCCCCTCTCCCACGCTGCTGTTGGGTGCAAATCTACAGAGGCAGGGGTCCGACACGTCTCCGCCATCTCCTCCTCCTGCTCCTCGCCCTGCGCCTCCCCTCTTCCACTTCTCGGCCAAGCGCAGAGGGGGGTAGAGGGAGGGGGAAGGCATCTTAGAAGCACCCCTGCTTCTTAGAAGGCGCGGGCCTTCTCTACAGATGTAAAGCCGGCGCCTTCTAAAAAGCAGCCTCCTTTTCAGAAGCCTTCCCCCCCTGTGCGCGCCGCCAAACTTCCGCGTCCACCTCGTCGTGCTGCTCGTCGTCTTCCTTCTCGTCCCGAGTGTGTGTTCGATGGGTGTCCAGCTGCCTGCGGGAGCCCCTGCCGTCGTGCCGGCGCAGCGTCGCGAAGATGGCCGAGCTTCGCGGTCTGGGCCGAAGAGCTTTTGCTCCACAGTTTGTTCTCGGTGTTGCGGCGCGAGTGCGCGAAGCTACTCGCACAGCGCGAAGCGCGAAGTTGGGCGACCTAGATGTCAGAACTCAGCGGCGAGCGAGGGTGGGAAGTGAGAAGGAGAAGGCCTTCTCAGCAGGTGCGGGGACTTCTCAGAAGCCCTCGCGCCTTTGAGAAGCTTTCCGTGTCGTCGGGGAAGGCTCGGAAATTACCTCAGATCAGAAGGCCCGGGGGACCTCCGAGCTTTCTGAGAAGGCCTTCTCCTTCTCGCTTCCCGGCCGGGCTCGCCGCCGAAGACTGTCTGGCTGAGGCGGCAAAGAGGGGGGGTGTTGATTATAGGGGGGGTGGAGATCATGGCGTGGGCCATGATATTTCTCCAGATTTCATGGCGCCTCTTATTATTTCATTACGTTCCTGGCCCCCCCTTGGGCCGCGCACATGCCGCCGGCCATGATTTGCGCCCCCCCCCTCCTGGACGCCCCCCTCTTGGCCGCCCCCGAGACCGCCAACGGGCATCCAAATGCGCACCATCGTGCCACAGGCAAACCCTTGCGAAGCAAGGTCGCCGAGGGCTGAACGGCGTCTGGGCTCGTGTTGGATGCTCCAAGACTTTGGCCAGACTTGATGTTCCAAGGACTGTTCCAAGACTTGGCCAGACTGTTCCAAGAATGTTCCAGACTGAGTGTTCCAAGACTTGGCCAGACTGTTCCAATACTGTTCCCAGGATCTCTGCCGAGCGCAGGATGTTCCAAGACTTGGCCAGACTTGTTCGCACATCTCTTTACCTCGGCTCATCTGGAGTTGCATTGGATGACATCGAGTGGCATCGGTTGGTCCAGGTTTACCCCCGCAGGCCGATTTTACATGAGTCGGCAACCCGTTTGGGGACGACGAGGGGTGGCTTCGGGGGGGAGTTCGGAGGACGGAGAAACGACACCACCACTTCCACCCTCCACAAGCGGGCCACCTCTGGCGAGGATGTCGGCGATGCCTCCCCGAGCTGGACTTTTTCGAATGTGCCGAGCCAGACATCACAACACATGGAGGCCCTCTCTGACTGCTCTCGACGGTGGTGGCGGCGGTTATTATGCCGACCTTCTCTGCTCCCATGGGGCGGGCGGACCACGGCCACAGCCCGGCCCGTACCCTTCCGCAGCGCTGCCAGGAACATCCCCCTGATGTCGGTGATCGCGGCCGAGGCGCGTGGGCCGACGGAGCGCCGGCACGCCGTCCTGGGTGGGGCATGGCCCCCAGACCTCTCGGCGTTCCGAGAAGGATCCGGAGGGAAAGAGGCACAGACACCATTGATCGTCGACTCCCGGGAAGAAGTAGGAAACGATGGGACGTGGGGGGGATGCCGAAAACCCAGAAAATATTGGAACGTATGGGGAATCCTGGGATTTGTGTCCATTGGTCTGTGCGTCCCTGAGCCCCTTTAAACAAGTGCGCCGTCATTTGCACATGGCCGCGGGCAGCCTCGCTCGGACTGGCCTCGGGCAGCCCCGGACCTGGCGCAGACATCTGTGTCCGAGGGGCGGCAGCTGAGGATTGTTGAACCGATCCCCAGCCCCATCCCCATCCAGGCCCCCACCATTTCATTCCCCCCTTCGAAATCTGACAGAAACTGCCCATCTAGGGGGGTGGCCAGTGGGGCCCAGGCCACGCGAGTGGGGATAGGGATCGGTTAAAGGATTCTCAGAATTCACCAGAGCTCTTGGCGACTCAAGCGAATCGCGCAGGCGTTGTGCGGTCGTGTTCGGCGTCCGCGGGGCGTATGCGGAGCACACAGCATCGCAGGTTTCGGCGTGCTCTGCCTGTGGCGAGCGCCACTCAGCGCAGATGGCCTCTGCTCTGGATGCGTTCAGTCGGGCAACTCCGTTACAGAGAGCCTTGTCTATTCAGGCCCACTCAGGCGATCGCAAACATGGATCAAGGGGGCGTGGATTAGCGACGGGTCCCGTTTCCATGGGAAATCGCGGATTTCCGCCGCCGAACGAGGCGGTACCGGCCGCATTTTGGGGAGGGCACCTCCCCCGATCCATGGATTTGGCGACCGCGCGCTAAATCCATGGATCGCTAATCCATGTTTGCGCGCCCCCGATATTCAGGCCCACAGCCCAAATTTTCAAATGGGCCAGCAGCACCCCAGGCGGCAGCGAGAGAAGCGACCAGGCGGGCGACGTTTTCAGCCTCCGTACGTGCTGAGGCGTCTCAGCTCTCCCGTGGGCCGCCGCGGACAGCCTGAGAGAATTGTGGTGGACAGCCTCTGTCAGGGGCGGCCAAGGGGGTGATGACCAGGGGGGGATGAGCATCATGGCCAGGGCCACAAGATCTCCCCAGATTTCATGCCGCCTCGTCTTACTTCAGTACACCCCCCGTCCCCCCCCCCCCCTGGGCCGCGCACGTGCCTCGGGCCACGATTTGCCGACCCACCTCCTGGACGCCCCCCTTGTGGATGTTCCGCTCCAGCAGCTCGTCCGCTCCCCGGCGCCCGGCTCCGAGGCACCCTGGGGCAGCCTCGGACGTGGCGCGGGCCGCCGCTCTCGGGAGGCGGCAGCGGAGCTCCTCGGCGGGATCGGCGTCGGGGGGCCTTTTGCTGGCCCCGCGTGCGGCCTGGCGTCGGCATCAGTGCGCACGCTCTGGCAGGAGCAGGGGGCGTACGATGCCCAGAGGAGTTGCCTCGATCAGGGAAGTGGGCAGCACGCAGAGGAAGGGTCCCCCAGTGGAGGCCTCTTGGAGCGTCTTGGGGGCTCCTTGGAGGTCCCGGAGGCCTCTTGGAGAGTCTTGGGTGCCTCGGCGAGCTTCTTGGGGTCCCTCAGGGGTCTCTTGGGAGCCTCTTGAAGGCCTCCTGGGTCCTCCTGGGCGCCTCTTGGGGCCCTCTTGAAGCGCACTTGGGAGCCTTGAGAGCGCTCTTGGGGCCATCTTGGAGGACATCGATCAAACAAGAGGGGAGCTTTAATCAAGGGTGCCCCCCCAAGAGGCCAAAATGGGGCCAAAACTTTTTGCAGTATTTAAAACCAATAAGATTGGCTCCCTCGCCGAGGCCGTTTTGGACGCCCTGACACTTCGCGACTGGCCCCTGTCCAGTTCCAGGGGAGGGGGTAGGGAGAGGAGTCAAGCTACCCACCCGCCCTCAAGCCGACTAGCTCACTCCCACCCGCCCTCCCGACACATAAGTAATACCCGCTACTGGGAACCAAAGCCGACCCAGGTGCGCGACGCTTAGGCGACGTGCGCCACGCGTGCCAGGGGCGCCACGCGCGCCAGGCACCCCTGGGGCCCGAGCGTGCCAGGCGCGCCTGGTGCGCCAGATGGGCCACGTGCTCCGAGTGCGCCAGGTGTGCCGCACACTCCAGCCGCGCCCGGTGCGCCACGTTCGGGGCACGTGCAGAGTGCGTCAGGTGCGCCTGCGCACGTGACAGCACACATCGGGAAACATGTTGGCCCCCGTCATCTGTGTCGAAAACCAATGCCCATCATTGTGTGTGGTGGGCCTGCGCACAGCAGGCCACGCGCCACCACCCCCGCCGTCCCTGTCAAAAACCACTTGACAGTGATCGCGGGATGGCCGCGCATGATCCACATTTAGCCGCGAAGTGCATGTTGTATTGCTTTTTTGTCAGGGATGGTAGCCCTGCGCACAGCAGGGAATATGCTGACACTCCCGCCGTCCCTGCCCGAACATACAAAGTGCTCGCGGGCCTCACGAACATGATTCCAGACTTTGCCCTAGAGTGTGTTTTGCATTGTTTTTTGACAGGATTGGCGGGGGGGGGGGGGGGGCGCATCGGGTTGCCCGCGCATGCTCCAAGTGTGGAGGCAGAGGGCGGTTTGAATTGTTTTTGACAGGGATGGTGGGGGGCGGGCCCGTCTGGAGTCGGCATGGTTCCGGGCTGGCCGCCAGCCGGGTGGGGGAGGGGGTGTATATTGATAAGGAACAGTGATAAACCCCTCCCCGAAGGGGAAGAGGGGCAGATGGATGACAAAGCACCCTAGACCACCCACGTCCTAAAGGGCAAGTGGGAGTACACGGCAGTCGGGCTGGAATAAATGAGTTGATTTTCACGTTGTCCATGGCACCAGACAGCATCACCACACCGCATCATCATCCTTGTCCTTGGCTGCACGCTTGCCGCATTATGCCTCCGACGAATGGAGTAATAATTTCGATTCGATTCTACGCTCAGCTTTCGTAGAGCTCTTGGGCCCTGTGGGGGTATTGGTGAGATCTGCTGTGATAGCCTGTGAGGTAGCGTTTCAGGTGTCTTAGGGTAGCGTCTGGAAGGTATTTCGATAATGTGTTTGAGCGTTGTTTCGATTGTCTGTGGGTAGTCGTCTTGTAGGGCTTGGGCAGTGGTCGAGTTGTGCTTGGTAGTGTTGATTAGCCGCTGGGGGCTGCGTTTGGTTACTGTATTGGTAGCGTCTGGGTAGCATTTGGGTCGAAATCGATTGTTGATTGAATCATGTATTGTCGCATTAGGGTGCCAATTTGATTTGGACTTCGTATGTATGGACAGTGCGGGTCGTTCATCGTTAGCGTGTGGCGAGCATCTATTTGGCGTCGGGGTCGCATGTGTGTGGTGTTTAGGATGCGGATGGGGATGGCGTGGGTGCTCTTTGCGCACTCTTTGGGAAGTGCTGTGGTATCGTTTGCACAGTACCATTGCGGCGGATTGCCGCAACTCCATTCCCGCTCCCCCGCCGCACTCCAACATCTCGGACTATTTGGAAAAACAGCCGAAGGAAGCACAAGGAAGTCTGACACCTGAGATTTTGTTCGGGCGCGAGCTGCTCACAAGGAGAATCGCGGAAGTGCCGCCTCCGTTGCCATCTCGGTTTGAGTTCTTTCGTGCCCGCCCGGTAGTCGGCCAGAGACCAGCCGCCGTCCTCAGGATGCCAGAGGATACCCGCGACGACGAGGACGAGAGTTCAGAGGAAGAGGGCGAGGACGAGCCAGAGCCGAAGGCCACGCAGGAGGAGCAACCGAAGGACGAGGACAAGAAGCCGGCCGCCCCCGCCCCTGTCGAGTTCAAACCACACGATTCGTACCCACCCATGACGGGCCCAGTGGAGGTTGAGTATTGCCCACATGATGGCCTCCCCCCTGATTTCTGTCAGTACGGATCGTCCTGGGAGAAGAGCAAGCCGTGGTGCATCGAGCATTATCCTCATTACTACCCCGAGCTCTCCGGCGTTTCGCTGGAGGACGCGAAGAAGGCAGCCCAGGCTGCGAGCGATAAGTCGAAAGTGAAAGAGCTTCCCGGGGGCAAGGTGAAGCGGGCAGTTTCGCCCCGAGTGACGATCAAAAAATTGACGCGCGGCGGGCGCAAGTGTGTTACCAGCGTCACAGGGCTCGAGGGCTTCGACGTGAAGATGGAAGCCGTCGCGAAGGCGTTCAAGACAAGATTCGCGTGTGGTTGCGCCGTGGTGAAGGGGGACAACGGGTTGCCCGATTCGGTCGACATCCAGGGCGACTTCGGGGATGAGGTCATCGAACAGTTGTGCGACAAGTTCAAGATTCCCAAGGAAAAGTGCACGCTTTCCGACGGAGGCACCAAGAAGGCCGGTAAGAAAAAAGCTTGAGCAGTGATTCTGGCGACCACGAATTTTCTTTCGAAACGCCGGTAGGATTCATTTCAAGCGTGGATACATTAGCTGCCCTGAAACATTGCCAGACTTCTTTGGAGTTGTCTCCAGCTTGAGATCAGTGAGGCCTCACGGCTGGTTCTGCCGATATTGAAAAAGGAATCAGGAGGCCATCGGAAGGCCGCGAGGGAGCCGAGGAGCGCCCCAAGACAGCCCCACGATGATCCTAGAACGGTTTGAAGAGCACCTCGAGATTGAAGAAGACACAGCACACCTTGCTACTTCTAGCTGGTCTAGTGTTAAGTCGGGCGTGTCCCTCTACAGTAGGAATATTCAACAATAGATCACACAATAGTCTCGGGACGATGTTTCGACTATTGTTTTCTTTTTTTGTTATGTTTTGACTATTATGCTTTCTACCAAAATCCGCCTGTGGGAGGACATGCCCGACCTAAGTCCAGTGATTTCCGTCCCAGGGTCGTGGACCAGAGGCCTCTTGGATGCGTATAAGGGTCTGTTGGGGTGCCTGTCCGAGGTATCTCGGAGGTCCCTCGGTGGCCTCTTCGAGGGCTCTCGGGGGCCTCTTAGGGTTTATTTTGGGCCTCTCGGGGGA